TGGCAAGAGGGCAGATGCGATCATTCACGACGATTGACAGCAGCACGACAAATCCCCTAAGCGAGGAATCATTTGAGGAACTTTCGCGGTTTATTGTTTAACACGACAAACTCAAAGAAAAAGAAGAAAAAGAAATATTTAAAGAAGAAGAAGAAATATTTAAGAAAAAAAAATGAGGTGGTGACTTGAGAGAAAAAGAAAGAGAGAGAGAGAGAGAGGGAGAGAGAAATGAACAATGGAAGAGACATGGAAACAGAAAAAATAATATTAAGAGGAGTTGTTTTGTGTGTGTGTGTGTGTGTGTGTCTATTTGCCGCAGCAGAGAGTGAAGGAGGTGAAAAGGGAAGTTGTGAGGAATGAAGAAATAGAAAGAGAATCTTTTCAAAAAAAAAAAAAAAAAAAAAAAAGGAAGGAAAACAAAAACACAAACTCTCATAATGACAGGATAAAAAATAAAAATAAATTGGGGGTAAACAGAAACTCCGGCTCGGGAGTAAATAAGGGAGAAGGAATTGGCATGGGCAAATGAATATCCGTAATGAATAATAAATACATAACGATATATATATATATTTATATATATGTTTATATTTATACATCAAGTACACATTTTGGATTGGCTACATGCCTTATGGAAACACGTAATCCGTAGAGAGAGAGAGAGAGAGAGAGAGAGAAGGTTTGTTTTTTGTTGTTGTTTTTTGTTTTTTGTTTTTTGTTTTTTGTTTTTTGTTTTTTGTTTTTTTTTGATGGCTTTTCTCGAATACACCGGGAGATCGATGAGCAGCACTGAAAGCAGTTGATGAACAACAAGGAAGAATTATTATACGTACTTTTATACTTAAATATAAATATATAAATATATATTTATATTGTGCATGTATGTGAATATAAAAAGAAGAAGAAAAAAAAGAAAAAAAGAAAAAAAAAGGGGGGGTGGGGGGGGGGGTGGGCAGCATGTAATGAGTTGTGGATCAATAGGCAGTTTTATATGCGTGTTGGTAGGTCATAAATACAGTTGTATTTGTGTTCATGGATCAACCTTGACAAACAATTACACAAACACGGGGGTCAGTGAAAGAAGAAGGGGTGGGGGGTGGGGGGGAAGAAAAAAGAAGGAAAAAAAAAGTAACGGAAAGACAGAAAAGTAAAGAGGGAAGTGGAAAGGACGTACTTTGAAATGAGAGCTTACATATATATATATAACTACAAATATATATAACTATATCTATATATCTATATGCAGCTACATTTATGGTTGTTTATATTAAATTATCGTATGGAGGAGCCCTTTCAGTTTTTTTTTTCTTTTTGTTGTTGTTGTTGTTTTGTTTTCTCTTCTTTTTGTTTGGGGTGTCTTGTTGTTTTGTTGTTGTTCCAGGTGCGTATACCTTCCTGACTACCGGAGTTATTGACCTTCTTTTTTTTCTTTTGTTTTTTGCCATTATTTTTAACGATCATCATTGGAGAATTGAGGAGGGAATGTACGAGCAAACAGGGCTCAATAACTGACTGACTGACTGACTGACTGACTGTGTATGTGTGGGTGAAGGATCAGCGACTTGTTTAGTCGGCCTGTTCCCTTGACAATAAAACGTGTGGTGTGTTTCTGTTTGTTTGTTTGTTTTGCTTTTTTTGAGGTGGCATCGTTGAAAGATGGCACCACGAGTGCAGCTCATTTTGTTGTTGTTGTTTTGGTTGACCATCTCTCTGCATGGATGGAAGTCTGAGCGGTTGCAGGTCCAATTTGTTGTTGTTTTTCTTTCCTTTCATTTCTTATTTATTATTTTTGTTTGGAAGTGTACGACTTGTGTGCGTGACTGGCGGTGTGGAGGGCGGTGGGGTGTTTTGGGTGCACGGGATGCGGGCCCGGGATCCGCCGCACCGCAGCGTCGCCTCACTCTTTACAGGAATAAAGCCGAAGTGAAAAGAGAGACAGAGACAGAGGGGGAGGGGGAGAGACGGCCACCCACCGGGACGTGTGTTCCTCGCTGCTGGTTTGTGCCTGCCTGCTCTCCGAGTTATATTGTAACGACCCACGCCCCTTTTTCTCCGTGTGTATTTGTACTGCCCTGTTGTTGTTGTTTTTGTGTGTGTGATTCATTGAGTGGGTGGGTGGGTGAGAGCTTTGCGTGTTTTTTTCTAGCCTGCAATGCTGGCGAGATGTTGTTTTTTGTTTTTTGTTATTATTCTCTTTTTTATTATTATTAATTTTGCTATTTTTACATGTTTTTTTTTGTTTGTTTATCTTCTTAATTGTGTGAGGAGGATGTCTGTTGATTCCATGTTTCGTCTGTTTTTATTTTTGTTTGTTCTGCTGCACACGCAACCGTACCACCACCTATTCAAGGAGGGGCTGTTTTATCTACATCAATGCAGGCATACACGTGCTTCTGCATGAGTGTATTTCTTTTTTCCTTTGCTTTCGTTTTATCCCTCTCTCTCTCTCTGTGTGTGTGTGCCTTACATGCAACAAAGAGAGATAGAGAGAGAGAAGTACTTCTTTCTTTTGATCACCATGAGATTTTATTACATGTGTGTGTACAGTTAGGAAAATATGAGCCTTTTTGTTGCTGTTGCTTTTGCTTTTTGTTGTTGTTGTTTTGTTGTGCGGTTGGATGGTGGCACGTCGTATTGCGGATGCAACACTGACAATAAATGAAACACCAACGCCAACAGCGGCAGCGGCAGCCACGGAAAAAAAAGAAAAAAGAAGGAAAAGGAAAAGGGCCTGCGAAATACAAAAAGATGGTGCGGTGTCGAGGAAAATGCCCGCGGGAGTGTCTTGTCCAGCTGCAGGTTGTGACTCCACAAAAATTAGGAGGAAACGAAGCGGGGGAGGCGGTGCTGTCGTCGTCACTTGATGTGTCTGCGCTGTGCGAAGCAATTGGGCATAAAATGTCGGTTTTTTGCGGGCTGGCGGTGGAGGCGAGCGCTGCAGGGCTCCAGGTGGAGGCTGTGCGGCACGACACGGATGGTGTGTATCATGTGGTGCTGCGGCTGCCGCAGGCAACACCGCTGGCCGTCACGGCATTGCGTGCGTCGTGTGCCTCGACGGCACTAGGACCGGTGGTGGGAGGGGCGAGAAGGACCGTGAGGCAAAAAAAACCGCTCCAGGAGGAGACGGCAGTAACGACGCCAGTCGCGGTGCGGGTGGTTCACTTGACGGCCGTCAAGGCGGCGTAGTGTTGGTGACACTTGTACCCGTTTTTGTTTTTGTTTTGTTTTTTTTTGCATTTCTTTGACAGTCTCTTTCTCTCTGTGTGTCTTTCTGTCTGTCCGTGTGTATATATGTGTGTTTGTACGACTTTATTTTCTTGGCCCTTTCTATCTTTATCTCTCTGTCTGTGTGTATATGCGTGCATTTCTTAGCTTGAGTCACACAGTGTGGTACGTCAATGGTAAACAGAAATGGGAATGCGACCGCCCCTGCGGGGAGCAATTTACAAGGGTATGAAACACCGTGTCAGCTGCCGCCGACTTCCCCGTTGCTGTTGTCACACACCTCTAGTAGCATAACTGGTGTTGGTGCTCTGTCCCCGGTGATACTTGTGCCTGCCACAGGAGCGACATCACCGCTGTCATCCCAAAATGCCTTTACAGCAGGTGGAGGAGGAAGTGGTGGTGGCGGAAGCGGGGTACGACCTGCACAAGGAGCGGCCCCACCGACACCAGCAGGATCTCCTATGTCACCGATAGTCGCTGTCTTCGATGCAACACAGTCTCTTAATAATAGAAGTAATGGGGTTACAACTAACGTTTCTCCTTTACTGCTACCTGAGAAATTAGTGGTGATGGGTGGGACTTCTTTTGCAGCTCTTAGTTCTTCCCTAACTAACAGCAATCGCGCAAATGGCAATGCGAGAAGCCCCAAACCGCTTTTAGACCGTAGCCCCAATGATGATTTGGCGCTTGAGATGCAGCTATTATCTGGATCTCCTTCTTGTCTATTTGCAGCCTCCCTTTGCGCCTTGCCTATTTCTCCCACGCGAGTAGCGCCTGTTCGTGGAGTTGCTGCAAGAGAAGTAGGATGTGTCGTGTTGGAGCCGGGAAGCGCAACCGATTGCGCAATTTGTTTGTGGAGCCGGGATGACGGAGATTCCCTCACTACCGTTCTTCAGTCATTGAGTACCGCTGCAAAGCCGAATCCAGCCGTTCACACAACTCAACCTCTTGAAAGTGTTAAGCTGTGCTGTAGTCATGTGTTTCATGCAGACTGCCTGCAACGCTGGTTGCTCACCAGCCGAGTATGTCCAATGTGCAGACGGGAAGTTGTGCCCTCTGCTGGGAATTAGCCACAGCCACCTCGCGTATCACATCGCACAATCATTATTGTCAGAGAGGAGGAGGGGTATCTCTTATCCCCAAAGAAAGTGGGGAGGGGAATGAAGGAATGCGGTACACAATAAAATCAGTTAGAAACAATTTGAGAACCGGGCGTGTTTGTGTGTATTGTATTGATTGTTTTTGTTCTTTTGTTTGTTTGTTTGTGCTTTTTGTTTGCTGTTTTCTTTTTTTTTTTTTTTTTTTGCTTTGCTCCTTTTTAATGCTTTATCCTCTACACCTCAGTTATTTTTTGGAGTCGGTGCCACATCCACTGAGCAATGTGTGGGGACTGCGTTTTTTGTTTTTGTTTTTGTTTTTTTTTTTTTGCGTGTCGAACGGGAGTTGTCCAAATGATTCTTTTTTTTTTTCCCTTACGTATGTATGTGCCAGTGCCCATTGAGAGTGGGAGGGAGGGTGGAATATCCCGCAAGAAAGAATGAATGAAAGAAAGAGGGAGAGAGCGAGACGATAGGGGAAAAACAAACGAAAGAAAACCCACTGCAGTGTCGTTATTGGCTTCCAACCGATTTTTTTTTTTTTTTTTTTTTTTTTTTGAATGGGCATGCATGCGCAATACATGTCAGCCAACAATCTGACGTTTTGGAAGAAGACGCATTTTTTTTTTTATTTTCATTTTTTTTCTTTTTGTTGCTTCTTCACTGATGTAAAAGAAGGGGCGGAACGACTCTTTTAGTGTCTGGAGTCGATGTTTTGCCGACCGCGTCCAATGCACATGTCGGTGGGGGGCCGCATACCGAGGCGGACGGTGGCCGCGGCGTTTTCGGTTGGATTTTCGGGCACCACCACCACCACAACAACAACAACCGCCCACCGTCGTTGTTACCGAACGGACTTCTTCAGCAGTGAAGTCGCGGAAGGGCGAGCGGCCACGAGAGATTTTTCTCCTCCTCCTGTTCCTTCTCCTCCTGCTCCTCCTGCCCCACCGATAGATGCGGCTACCCTCGCCGCAATGCTCGACGATGTCAGTCCGGAGGTGGCGGCGATGAAGGCACCGTTAGCCTCATCGGCGAGAGGGAAAAACGCCTCTGCGACATCCAAAGTTTTTCTGAGTGATATTGTTCCTGACGCGCAGGAGCTTAATACGGTGGTTGCAGAGGAAGCGATTGAGGAAGAATGTGCAATTCTGCTGCAGCCAGAGCGCCCGGAAATGGAAAGCCAATACGAGCGCGGGTTATCCAAAACGGAGGAGGTTGCCACAGAGACACCTGCGTCAGCGAGTTGGGTGACCAAAATGAACTCTTCATGCAGTTACCTCTCTCGACAGGATGCTCTTTACTTGGCGGCACCAACCCCATTGGACGCACGGATGCCAGTTGTTTCCACACCAGCTTCTTCATCGTGTGTTATGGTCGTTTTTGCCGCGAATGACATGCGTGTCCATGACAACTATACATTGGCGTTAGCAGCCGTACGGGCAGAAGCGGCAGGTGGCCTACCAGTTATAGCCGTCGCTGTCATCGACTACCGCACCTTTGCACAGCCGAGTGCTGTTGGCGGGTACTTTCGGCAGAGCCCCATGCGGGCGCGTTTTTTTCTTGAGTCCCTTGCAAAGTTGCGGGCGACGATAGAAGAGGAATTACATGTGCCGCTTCTTATTCGCTGTGGACGGCCCGAAGAACACGTCCCACGTCTCGCAGTAGAGTGCGGTGCGACCGATGTTTTCATGACAACGCAGTATGCCCCACATGAGAAGAATGTTCATGACACCATCGTGGAGTCGATTAAACGCCGCAAGTGGGTCAGCCGCGATGTCGCCTCAGGCCTGAAGCTAACAACACATGACGCTGCCGTATCCCATCCATACGGCAACTGCAACGGGGATAGGGAGGCGGTAACAGCTGCAGTGTCTCCTGTCCCACACAGCGTATGGCAGACAACCC